AGAGCAACAAAAACAATTTACCAAGTTGTTCAAATCTTTTGTCAAACTTGTGGATGAAGTTTATGATGAACGAACCTTGATAGCATTTGAACTGTCCAAGAATTGCAAATACTGGAGATGGCCGATGGTTAGAAGATTCCTCAAAGAACGATCCATGACTACTCATCACTTTGATGGTTGTATGTTGGGTGTTCTTGGAAACAACGGTCAACCAATGAAGAAAAGTTGGACTATTGCAGGAAATTTTAAAGAACTCACCGTGTTAGACTCATTCAAATGTGATGGCAAACATGAGCATGATCAAAGTAGGGGCAAAGCTCTTAAACTTGCTGAGAACTATACCTTCAAGTTGACTGACATGCTCCATGAGTGTTTCCGGGTAGCTGTGGTGGGCCAAACATCCAAAAGGATTTCACCCGTTGTCATTCGTGCCTGTCCTGCAAAAATGGCTGACTCACGATATGCCACAGCACACCCGGCCAGCCGCGAGGCTGCGCTCGAAGCCACACGTGAGGCTAACAAAGAAGCATGGTTGCTCCTTCACAATCGCATTTTGTATGCATTGGCCATGCGCAATGAAGGTGAGAATCAGGCTGCTCAGGACCTCGTGGATGGATTGATGACCGAATGGACGCCGGCTTCGGCCCTGAGGTTCTATGGTCGAGAGGATCCGCTTGCAGAATACCTTAGCTTCTGCTTTTTGCCAAAGGAGTCCCACATTGAAAAGATCATGTTGCCAGAGATGCCCGTCAATGATGTAATCTGGATCTTAGTCTCTGACTCGTCATGTGCATTGATCACAGGGCGTAGGAAAACACTTAAGAAGTTTGACCTGTCCGAGCATTACCGGCAGCGCAAACCTAAGTACGTGACTGAGTTCATCCATGAGATGCTTTGGGGCAAAACTCTGCAGAAGCTGGTCAAGCGTGGGATTGAATTGGCCGCGGACGCCCGCGAGCGCTATCCTCATGCACGCATCAACCTGCACTTGTCCTGGTTCGGAAATGAATTGGTAGGAGAGGATGGAATTGCCCAAAATCCAAATTGGCCGTACGATGGTCCCAACGGGCACTGGCCCACGATCCTGGATGATTGTGAGCGCCACTTGACATGGTTCATCAACAAGGCCCGGGAGTTGGACTTGCAGACGGCCGGTCTCACGACCGCGCCCTGGAGCGCAGATTACGGCATTCATCCAATTTTCGATCAATTTTTCGACCATTTGGAGCCCCGATTCAAAGCTCTAACCAGCAGCCTGCAAGGGCGTGCCAATCCGCGGTATCCGTGGCTAAAAGCAAAGGGGTACGCCGATGCAATGGAATTCAGAGACCAGTGGCATTTCGCCAACTCTGAAGAAAATCGCACGCGCCTTGCTGCCTATTGGACAGCTACCCTTTTCGCACTTGATTCCGGATGGCGGGTCGGCCAAATTGGTTTGGAGCTTTCTGAGTGTGCCCAGGAGACATGGGATGATTTGCGGAGGAACATGAGCGCCGTCCTGGACGAGCTGCCAAGGTCCTATCAGGAGACATGTGCAAACATCACCAAGTTGCTTTTTGGAGAGTCCCGAAGACACATTGTGCCGACGGGCAGATCATTCACCAAGGAGGACGTCGAAGCTCAACAACCTGACACTGAGGACTACATTGACATCAAGACGATGCCTTCGGGCACGTTTGCTGAGCCTCCCAAAGATGACCCTCCAAAGGCCGCCGGCGACGGCGAGCCCGCTGCATCCAGCAGAGCAACAATCCTGGTCCAAACAGCTGAGGTCATGTTGAAGTCGCGGCCGAAAGCAGCACCAGCACCAGTGGATGAGCCCGCAGATGACAAGAGAGCCACATCCAGCCAGTACCAGCCGCAGGCAACTGCGCGCTTAGAGGGACAAGCATCTGGCCACGTGAAAGCATATTGGATGGAAGAGCATTTGCCTGAATACCAATATACAATGGTGACCAATGCAGACGGGGACGATGTGCCCGGTATCCTCTTTGAAGGTACGGCTTATGAACTGGAGCTGATATCGGCATCCGACGTTGAGACCATTGCCAGCCAGACTCGTGTCGATAAGAAGTTTTCTGATTTTGCAACTCGTGTCAACAAAGTTTGCAGGGGGCATGGATCCTGTGCCAAGGTGCCAATGGACAAAGACCTTTGGATTGACTTGGGGGATTTTGCCAAAGCCTTCCGCAAGGAAGTGCCCCCAGATGTTTTCATCACTGTCGCAAACCTGTTTGGCACCGCAATGAAGATCGACAAGCATGGCAAGAGTAGGTTCCAATTCTTGTGTGCAAAGATCTCCCATTTTCCTGTCGACAATGGCCTAGGCATGCCGTATTATCCTGTGAAAATCCGTGCAATTCAGGGTCACTCCGAAGCTGCCTTGAAAACCGCAGGGGGTCTTTATGCCAATTCAACCATGGTGTATTGCTCAGACCATGTATCCCCCGAGCGAAAAGCCGCCTTCACTGGCGTGCCCCTGTGTGCCATGACTGAGGTTCCTGAGGCTGTCTTCCATCGCACGATGAAAAGCAGCTGGAAGAGCATCGCACAGAACGGCCTGATTCCAGGCGGCGGTGCGACAGTCAACAGTGGCCGTGCTCATATCTACATGGCAGAACACTGTATTGGCACGCAGGGATATCGATCTGGATTAAGAGCAAAATGTCCAATCGAAGTCAAAATCGCAATGCGGCAAGCAGTTGAAGCTGGTGTCATCTTTAGTCGCACAGAAATGGATGGGATTTTGTGCTCAGAACGCATCCCACCGCAGTTTTTGGTCAGCATCTCAGAAGAGGACAGGTGCTTTGGTCCCGCGCCGAGAGCAATCTCGAGCCCAGCTCATGGACTGGCGCGGCATCAGGCTCAGCACCGAAATCCAAAGCGGTCACCTTGACTGCCCGAGATGATGCAAATGACGACCCAATGGATGACACCAGCACGGGGCGACCCGATGCCAAGTCCACTGATGATGATGCAGCCACTGCCCCAATGCAAGTTGACCAGCCGCCCGCAAGGACGCGCCGTGTTTACATTGCACCCAAGTACTGCGAACCTTTCATGGGCTCCTGTCCCCTCTGCCAGGTTGAGTACGTCAGTGGCCAAGTGACATGCACCACATGTGGGTTCGAGCCACTCCCAGTGGACGAAAGTGGCGATACAAAAGAGGCCAACAAACCCAACAGGAGGACCCGTATCCTTGAACGGCGAATGCAAAGTCTCGCCGGGTTCGGAATGTTTGGGAAGATGAGCGGAAGCTTGCTGACAGCCTTGACGGAAGAGCAAGCCAACCTGCTACGCCGAGAACTGGGCCCCAGGGGAATCACATCCGTGGAATCAGCAGTCCTCAAAGACTGCCGCGACAGGCATCGACGTGCAAAAGCGCTGGGCTACGAGGACGTGGAAGACAGATACTCCAGCGACGTCACTTTTTGCGACCGCATCCACGGTGAGGGGAAGGACCTGCAGGACTGCATATTCGACGACATGTTCGCATATGGCAACCTCCCCGATCCCCCAAGGACCAAAGCTCAGATCTCGGCTGGCGTCGCCGCCAATGCCCAAAATGAGAACTGCTTATCTAAGTTGATTTTCATGTCTCAGCCTCGAGGTGTTGATGGTTTCCCAGTTGAGTTCCGCAAAACATGGAAGAAGGTCTGGGGTTTCATGTTTGGCCGCCACATTTTTACAGAGGATGAATATGTCAGCTACATCGGCCGTCGTGGCGCATTCCGTGGCCTGTTGACCTGGAAGGGTACTGTCCAAGTTCCTTTTGATGGCACTCGTGATTTCCTCGAAAAGGTGTATGAGGAAAACCTTCCCTTGGTTCGGAGCAATCTTGAACGCAAAGAGAAGCAGAGCGCCGCTGCAAAGGCTGGAGGTCCTGGAGGTCATAAGGCCGACCCCACGGTCGCGCCCACCATTGAGCGAAAGCGCAAAGCCGAAGCTGATGCATCCGCAACCGCACCAGATGTCACAGCCGCCTCAAGCTCTGCTCGCGCAGACGCCTCGCACGCTGATGCCCCAGTTGACCCCAACAACGCACCATTTCTGGCACCTGAACCACCAACATCCAAAGCAGGAGCACGACCATTCTTGGAGCCCGAGACACCGCCCACTGCAAAAGCAGCAACCGCAGGAGTCACTTCGAAGGCTGCAAGCTCCGGTCGCCCGGATGCCTCTTGGAGTTGGAATCGTGATCACTATGGTGCACGCCGAGAATGGAGTTTCTGGCGTGGGGCTTGGTATTACCGTGACGAGGCCGGCGGCCGTTGGATCTTTTGGAACCGTTAGGGAGACGATGATTTTCTTTTGTAGCATAGCGCAAGATGTGGCATGGTAATGTGCCTTCCTTGCAACGCTGCGCTGGGTTTTACGGGCTTGAGCTTTTTAGAGGGACCTTTGAAAGACTGCACAAAAATGTCTAAAACCAACTAAAGAAATTTGGCTACCCGCGAGGGTATGCTTTTCTGGGTTATTCGTTCTCCGCAGTCGTCCCTGCTCGCCCGAGGGGAGTGTAAAAACTCCTGCAGTAAAACCATGTATTGTATATATATCATCGATCTGCCCGATAGCGTTGGTTCAAAAGAGCTGAGTGCTTAGCGGCTTGTAGGTCACCCCATTGGTTAAATATCACATTGTTGGCTGACCTTGTAAAATACATATCTTTTGATATATATATATATACATATACATATAGATATGTTTTTTTAAAATATAGATAAAGGCACACCTACACAGACAGTTTTTGGATGGATGGATACGTGAGAAAATAAGTAGACCGACAAGTACATAGAAACGCACACCCATATCATTTGTCGATAGCCACACACACACACACGCATAAATAGGTGTGAACAACACACACACATACACATACACACACTCACAGATATGTATATATATATATATACATATCTATATATAGGTAGGTAGAGTGTCTCACCCCAAAGCATTGCTTCCACGACCCAAGCCATTTTGAATGCGTCAACTTACGTGAGGAAGCTGCAGCAGTCAGCCTCTTGTTGCATTGTTCACGCTTTGGCGGTTGTGCCGTTGCTGCCTCAGATGGGTTTATGGACGATGGCAGGTTCCATGGTTGGCTTCATGGCGATGTCCAAACATCGGGGATAGAGAGAGATGTTGGATACCGTTGGATACCACAAACCCAGACGTTTCCCTACAAATGCTGATGTGGTCTCTAAGGTCAATGCAAACAGCTCTGTAGTTCCCTGGAGTTTTCGAGTCAGATTGAAACAGGACACCCTTTTGGGCTGGTAGCCAAGCTGGTAAGACGCAAACACTGGCTTGATATGTGGCAGAGCTGGGATGCTCGGATGCTCCGATGCTCCACAGCATGGTTCCAGGAGCCATTTCGTTTTTTGCTGGCCCCCACCAGTGCCCTTCCGACAATGATTTTTGGAACTTGGGTGGTTCTGGAGCTGTTGCGAGATCTTCAGGTACACACGATGCATTGACGACTGTGCTTTCGGTTGTTTGAGCCTCAGCCCTTTGGAGATTTGGACGCAGAGGGGCCAGGACAGTTTAGGTGTTTGTTGTTTAAGGCCCGTGCCGTGACGCTCACCCGCCGCAAGCCCAGCTGTTACTGAAGCCCAACCCCCTCATGATGGTTCTGTTTAAAGAACTAACACTGGGAGTTGTCATAGTGATAGTTGACAGAAACTCAAATGGTGGTAAGACATGGTACAACTGTGTGACTCCCAGTGCTTACGATTATGATGTATATAGACCCCAACTAACCACGTTTATTCAGACCTTGATGACGATTGATAACTAGAATGATCAAAATCTTTAGCCACTAGCCTGCGAGGTGCTGATCCCGCTTTGCTTCCAGATGTGGCAGATACACAGTCACCATCAGCGACTACCAGCCCCAAGGTATGGTGCAGCGTAGGACCCGAACAGCTACCATCTGACACACTTGAAAGGATGGTACTGGAAAATTGACATTAAAGATCTCAGTCTAGTGATGTTCAATGAATGTATGCCCCCTTCAGTCCGATGACATGGCCGGAAGTTTTGTCCAGACCTGCCTTGTGGTTAAAGCAAGCTGCTTTTTGGGAGGCAGCAGACAGTGGACCAGATGTACAGGCCTTGATGTTAGACCTGGATCTAGATGTGTGGCTCTCAGGACCCTTTGTAGATTTGCTGTGACCATGGCAGCTGTCAGGTACCCAAAACTTCAAAATCTTGAAGTAGTCAGATCACAATCACAAGTTTTTTATTTGCAGATCACAAGCCCGGCACCTCCAACAATTGGGCACTTATGTTCCCGAAAGCTTGAGAGGTATGGAGACAGGTGACAAAATCTGGTTCCAAATCCAATCAACTCCCAGTTATCCCTGCTTTTGGGCGCATCTATTTGACAGGGGCACATAGTTGCACTATGTTGCACTCATCCTTCACGGCTTTCAGGTTGCAGCTCCAGTGTTTCGTCTGGACCTCTGCCAATTTCGAAAGGCCGTACGGAAGCAACCTGCATCCACAAGTCTGTTGCAGGTTGGGGCTTGCTTTCCGACGGTCACGCCGCAGCCTCAGGGAATGCCCTGCTGAGGAAAAGCACAAGGTCGTGATCATTGGTGGTTCAGTCTCAGGTGAAACGCGGCAATTCTTGTGGCATCATTTCCATCCAAAATCATCTGAGTGTTTCGTGTGACCGTGTGTGACCCATGGCCGACAGATTCTGCACCAAGGGCGGTCATTTCCTCATGACGCCTGAGGTCACCGTGGCCTTGGGGCGATTTGTTTTCCGCACCAGCAGCCAACGGCCGCCCCAACACTTGGCACCGGCTGAGAGGCGCAGATTGGCCTATGCCAAAATGAACAGATCCAATACCGAATCAGGATTTCCAGGGGGTCAATATTGTGAAGGGACACAATGGATACATCCAACGAAGAGCTGAGATACATCGGGAAATGTGGCATTTTGGGACGATTTTCATACCTCCAGCATTTGTTTGCGAAAATCTTCTGGTCTGACACTTCACATATCTTCACATGTTTGATGCTCTTGTCAGCCTTTTGGTTACTCAATGGATCAGTTGGGATGCCCAATAGAGCAAGAGTTCCTTTGAGCCAGGGACCCTGGGACTTCCAAACCAATCTGAAGCACCACTAATCTTAGTTCAAATCCGTATGAAAGTTATATAAGTTATGTAGAATCTGCCTGTATAGAATCATATTTGCCTTCTATTGCCTTCAATTTCCCGTTCTATTCTGTCTATTCTGATGATGTTGCTGACTCAGTGCTGCCAGGTGCGACTGGATGAAGTTCTCTTGCTTCTGCCAGCTGACCGAGACCTGTGTCATGCCCTTAGCACTCACTGGTGATTGCTGCTTCTGAGTGTCACACCTCCCAGGTTACGGCACAGGGTGAAGACGGAACCGAATGCAGGGTGCGCCGGGCAGTCGACTGTCAGCGGTGTTTCTTTCTCGCTCCTTTATTTAAGTTGATTACCAGTTGTTTAAAGCCCTTTTTTTCAAATGGGAGGCTGCCCCCACCTTTGAGTCTGTCATTGTGACGAGCTCTTCGTGTGCAGGTCTATGAGCCCACAACCATGAGCTTGCAAGCTTGGAGGGACGCGGAGAACGCCCAGCACTGGCTGGGACCTGAGCATAAACCACCAGTTGGTGGCCTCATGACGATGTAAACACACTGGCTTCTGGGCGTCCTGGACTCTGCAGACTCCTAGATTTGTTGAGATAAACAGCATCAATCATGGTGATATCATGGTGATATTGACATGATATTTTGCTGCTGAGGCGATGGAGCCTGGAGAGCCAAGCCTTCCGATGGAATATTGGGCCGCTGTTCATGAAGGCCCTGGTGGCTGTCGGTGCTGTGGTCGTGTTCACGACGATAATAAAAATGATGCCCAAGTCCAAGAGAGATGTGAAGCCATTCTTTTTTCTGAATGGGTTGATTAGAGTTGCGCCAGAATGCTAATGAAGGTGTTTTTTTTTTTGCCATGCTGTAGTTGATTCTGGCGATGATAGTACCTAGGTTATTGTGTTTGTGTTGTTGATGTTGACGCATGGCGACCACCTTTCCTGCAGTGATGGCATGCTGCAGGTGGTGGGCCAGCTTCCTGCAAGCCTGAAGCCTACCACATGCCTACCTCGTGTTCTTTCCCCAATATGAACTGATCCAATACAAGGCAAATATTATGGAGGGATTAGCCATTAGCATGGTTATCATTTTTCTGAGGCCTGGACTATGCCATGAGTCCCTTGCGTGATGCCGGCAGCTGAGTTCTGCACCCTTAGAAATCCCTGAGCGAACGAAACCATGAGAAAGGGCCGAGTGGGGCATCCCCTGCTCCCCCTTAGATATCCTTAGAGGACTTCTCCTGCACTCCTTTCGGGGATATGTCAGGTGCTGTCAGATGCAGCTGCTACTGCAGTCACTGCTGCTCCAGTGGCTCCCACAGCAGCTGGTGGGCATTGTGGCGCAGCAGCCCAAGTCGAGGCGGTTGATGATGCCAACCCTGGAATAAACCTGTGGCGGTCCCGGTTCAGTGGCACAGGGGGGTTTTATTTCCAATAGATTCCAAGGGAACTGTATCACTTTTGGGTTTTACATCAATCAGGGTGTATGTTGACAGTGTCGTTGCCAAATCTCCCAACTGGCTGCAAGACGCCTCCCTGAAATGTCAGCAGGGGGCTGAATCTGCGAAGCCTAGAGCCGGACCCTTGGTAGCCGATCGATCAATGGACCCTGTGCTATTGAAACCTGCAATGGAACTTACCGATTTGCAAACGATTCACTGATCTACAAATCTGAACAATAGATACAAAGGGCATGTTCCGATTTAATGTAAATTGGATTCAGTAGAAAACCAGCACTCAGGTTCAAGTGAAGGTGTCCATCATGAACTTTGAGCTGGTGCCTGCAATTTTAGGGGCTGCACGGTAGTTCGACTTGGCTCAATTGGAGTTTCATAAAACAGCACGGAGAAAGATATGCGCACACACA